TATATATATATATACTGCACATATGTAGTATTTTGGTAGTCACATATACACTATGTAGAACTGCAAAATTGCTATACATAAATATACCTTTCTCAGGGTGGTATCTTAGACTGAAGGGCTGATGTTGCCAGATGTACTGCACCAGAAGAGGGGCGATCTCTATATATATATATACTGCACATATGTAGTATTTTGGTAGTCACATATACACTATCTAGAACTGCAAAATTGCTATACATAAATATACCTTTCTCAGGGTGGTATCTTAGACTGAAGGGCTGATGTTGCCAGATGTACTGCACCAGAAGAGGGGCGATCTCAGCGAGGATGTTTTGCAGGATCTGCTGGAGGAATCTCTCATGGGCTTCTGCGTCTGATGAGTCAGGATGAACCAGAAACAGCTGATACTGGACCGCGTCTTCAGGGATAGAAGGTCTTTGTAAAGCATCCATATTGATATCCCCTGAAAGCATAGGTCATGTCACTAACGTTAGATTCCTGAAACGTGCCTATCGAACGCTATACATCACAGGAATTACGCAACATGTGAAATAGGTGTTCATGCAGATGATTACCTGAGAGATGGTATTAGTTATGCGATAGCTTGATCAATAAACGCAATACAGCGGCGACCATGTGGACAGCCTCAGCTTGACATGTTTTGAAGCTTGTGCTCGCGGGATTTTCCTTACACGTCCCGGAAGTGTCGTAGTTTTGGATACAGGTCCTCAGTTCAAAATAAGGGTCATTTTGAGCTATTTGACCATTGACTTTCTCACAAAATACGACTATGAAATAAATTCGTTTATTTATTTTTTTTTTTTTTATCATTTAATGAGTATAAAACACTGATCCTAAAATTTACAATTGAGCTAAATCCATCCATATGGTTAATTGTGAACAAAAATGCTGATAAAAAAAAATTAATACCTTTATTAATCAAGGATGCATTAAATTGATCAAAAGGAGCAGAAAATACATTTGTAATGTTACAAAATATGTTTGAAAAAAAAATGGGTCCTCAGTTCAAAATAAGGGTCATTTTGAGCTATTTGACCATTGACTTTCTCACAAAATACGACTATGAAATAAATTCGTTTATTTATTTTTTTTATTATTTTTTTTTATCATTTAATGAGTATAAAACACTGATCCAAAAATTTACAATTGAGCTAAATCCATCCATATGGTTAATTGTGAACAAAAATGCTGATAAAAAAAAATTAATACCTTTATTAATCAAGGATGCATTAAATTGATCAAAAGGAGCAGAAAATACATTTGTAATGTTACAAAATAGAAATAAATAAATCCTGAAAAAAAATCACACTTTCCACAAAAATATTAAGCAACACAGCTATTTTCAAAATGTTTATTGAGCACCAAATCAGCATATTAGAAGAATGATTTCTGAAGGATTATGTGACAAAGTAATGGCTGCTGAAAATTCAGCTTTGGCATCACAGGAAAAAAAATGACATTTTCAAATAGATTCAAATTGAAAACAGTTAAACAGTTCAAATGTAATAATATTTCCCAATATTATTTTTACTGCATTTGCATCATATAAATGCAGCCTTGGTAATGGACTACTACTCTCAAAAAAAAAAAAATCCTACTAAACCTAAACTTTCAGTGTATATACAAATACAATTCATTATTTACAGAAAAATGACAAAAAATGACAAAAAAACAGAGATAGAGAATAAAAATTAATTGACCTGCTTGTTTGATTGGTTGTTTAGTCAGGACTTTCAGATAAATATAGAAAATTATATCAAAGTTGGACACAGAGAGAACATAAAAAACGTTTGTGAGCAAACAATTACCAAATGTAACAGTTAGTTAGTTAGTTAGTTAGTTAGGCTAGTTATAGAACATAATTTTATGTAAGTCTATTTAAAAACAATCCCCAGCAAATACTTGATTGTCTGTCAGATGACTCAGTCTTTGTTTGACACATCCATTGCCTCTTTTGGCCTTTATATAGTTCATCCGTTCCCCTGTGTGTTGATGTGGCCATCGGAGAGTCTTTGAAATTATAGGGAGGGTTTGCGTTCACTGAGCATGATCCAACTGTTTTATTCTGTCAGGCACAAATTCCTCTTTTGTAAGGTGGCATGGAACCGTATGTGAAGGCTTAGTGAGAGATCAGCACAGCCTGAGGCAGTGGAAGCAGCACATGTCATGTGATCAAACACAATATATAGCAGTATCACACCACTGACTGTGGAGATTTCCCCAGGAGATCTCCTCCTTCATCCTCCCATTAAAGAGATCATGACTGTCTGTGACATCCAGAGGAACTTTCTCAGGCGATTTTCAGACTATTTCATCAGAAATCTTTGGTATTTGTGCTCAAGAGAATAACTGAATTTGCATTAGGTTAGACATATTACGGAGTAGCACACAATAAAACTATTAATATAGCATGCAAAAATAATAAAACAATAAAAACAATCAAAATAACTATTTTCTATTTGAATATATTTTGAAATGTAATTTATTCCGGTAATGGTAAAGCTGATTTTTCAAAAGCCATTGCTCCCGTCTTCAGTGTCACATGGTACTTCAGAAATCATTGTAATATGCTGATTTGGTGCTCAATTATTATCAATTATGATTGGCAGTTTAATTAGTTTAAATAGTTTAAAACATTTATATATGTTGTTTAATTTTTGTTTTATAGAGCTGTTTATTAGCTTAAGACATTTATATATAAATTTATTTCAAGTAATTTTCCACAATCCTTTGGATTAAACAGCATGTCTACAAAATGATTTTTCAAATCACATTTTAACAATGTCAATGTAACACTGACAACCAGAACAACAACTAATCAAACCACCTACTCTCAAAAACACAATCACTGCATCAACTTCAAAAAAAATTTAACCTGCATACTACAATTAAAGTAAATAAACACTAATTATAATTAACTGCCATATTCAATATATGGATTATAACAAAGACTGTGTTTGCTAAAGTGTAATATAATTTGCACAATCAATCAAAAAATGTAATGAACAAAAAGTTTGTGGACAAACTGAGAAGCAGTGTGAAGTGGTTTTGGGGTCCATCAGATGGATTTTTCACTGTTTGATGCATTGAGCTCCAATGCTTTTTTTCATGAGTGAGCAACCAAACTTTAATATCATCTCCCTTTCCTCCAATATATGAGCCACTGTCCCCTGAACTACGCAGCACCCGGTGGCACGGCACGATCAGGGGAATCTGAGTGAACAACACACAGACAAAAGATTGCATCAAATGAGAAAAAATACCTCAAGATAAATCAATCTGTCATGATCATTGCAACAAACTCACCGGGTTATTCTTCATGGCTGAACCCACTGCTCGCACAGCTTTTGGATTCCCAATCATTTCAGCAAGCAGCTTGTAGGAGACCATTTTACCAAGTCGCACTTCCTTAAACAGAGTCCACAGCACATGTGCTTTAAAAGAGTCTGAGAAAGAGAGAGAGGGAGGAAAACAGTGGCACTTAAAATCCTTGTTTTTGCTGTAAGTGAACTACAGGTGTAGTGGAGTAGTGTGTGTATGTGACTAACCACTCTGCATTAGCGGATTGTGTAAGGTAGGCAAAGGAAGAGCACTGATGGACTCGGGTTTCATGAAGTAGCACTGAAGCCAGTCAACACAGTGCTGTAACTCAGGGCTTATTTCTGACTGGCCAACAGGGTGTACACTACAACAGGATACACATTAAAGGAAAAAAGGAAAATTTGCTGAAAATGCACTGAATATGTAGATTAATTTGTTTCTTCATCAGACCAGATTTTGGATAAATGTAGCTTTACATCACTTGCTCACTAATGGATCCTCTATAGTGAATGGGTGTCGTCAGAATGAGAGTTCAAACAGCTAATAAGAGCATAATCCACATAGCAGGTTATGTTTCGAGCGCTTCGAAACTGAATCATTTTGAGAAACAAATGGTTCAATTGATTCAGACTTTCGAATAGCTTCGTTCCCCTCCACTAGGCTACTTGCAGTACTACTGTTTACGTGTGGATTGCATGTTATGACTGGCTGGTAGTCTGTGTCATGTTTGTGAGAGTTACCTCTCGTCCTTGTCTGTTCCCAGTTTGATATTAATGGTATGAAGTGAACTCCCTTCTCAGCCGTTCAGCAGGATTTCCCCTACTGGCGAATCACTTGACCCAGCACACAAGAACCGCTGTCAGACATCACATCACAAACTGCACACAGCAAGCAATCTGCTGTCAAAACGCTGTTAAACACATGCAATATATACTGAAGTCATGTGTGACAAAAACTCGAAAGCGCACAAGCAGACTGCGGTCAAGCCAGCCGCAGTTCAGAAAAACACGGTCAAGCCAGCCGCGGTTGGAATTTGTGTGCGCGTATTATAATGATTACGGTAATTGCAGGAACACAGAGAGAACGCGCTTTCAGAGCACTTTTCATTTAGACGCCCAGATGTGAGATATAATACAAGATGACATTTCTCGATTTCTTTTTTGTACTTCTGCTTTAATATGTGTGTTATTTATTGGTGTTTTGACGGTTGTGTCATAGCAGGATTAGAAAAAGAGAAATGGGAAATTATTCGATTTAGAGGGCTATAAAGACCCCATTTCTAATAAGTAGAAAAATACAATGGTCAGTTCCTATAAGGGACATTCCATATTATATGCACACCTCATATGAAACTATTTTACTGCAGCATTTTTGAGATATGACACATTATTACACGTTGGAGGGCTATAAAGATACCATTTCTAATAAGTAGAAAAAACCAATGGTCATTTTCTATAAGGGATGTCCCATAATATATGGAGAGCTCATATAAAAACATTTTACTGCAGCATTTTTGAGATATGAGACCATATGGCGCTTTAGAGGGCTATAAAGACCCCATTTCTAATAAGCAGAATTAATGAATGGTCAGTTCTTATACGGGACATACTATATGCACACCTCATACGAAACCATTTACTGCAGAGTAATTTTTTTGTTTTGAATGGAATAATTTTTGAGATATGGGACTATATGGTGCTTTAGAACCATATAGCACCATATAGTCCCATATCTCAAAAACGCTGCAGTAAAATTATTTGATATGAGTTGTGCATATAGTATGGGACATCCCGTATAAGAATTAACCATTCGCTTTTTCTACTTATTAGAAATGGGGTCTTTCTAGGCCTCTGAAGTAGAAAAATGTCCCATATCTCAAAAACGCTGCAGTGAAATGGTTTTGTTTTAGGTGTGCATATATTATGGGATGTCCTGTATAAGAACTGACCATTCATTTGTTCTACTTATTAGAAATTGGGTCTTTATAGCTATCTAAAACATCGTATGGTCCCATATCTCAAAAAATGCTGCAGTAAAATGTTTTTATATGAGTTGTGCATATAGTATGGGACGTCCCTTATAGGAACTGACCATTGGTTTTTCTACTTATTTGAAATGGTATCTTTATAGCCCTCTAAATCACCATATAGTCCCATATCTCAAAAATGCTGCAGTAAAATGGTTTGATATGATGTGTGCATATAATATGGGACGTCCCATATAAGAACTGACCATTCATTTCTTCTACTCATTAGAAATGGTGTCTTTGTAGCCCTCTAAATAGAATAATTTCCCATATCTCTTTTTCTAGGAATCCTGCTATGATTTGAAAGGTCGAAAAATACAGTAAAACACATCCGTCAAAACACCAATAAATAACACGCATATTAAAGCAGGAGTACAAAAAAAAAGAAATCGAGAAATGTCATCTTGTTATATTACATCTAAATTCTGGGCGTCTAAATAAAAAGTGTGTTCTCCCTGTGTGTTCCTGCAATTACCGTAAGCATGGTAATACGCGCGTACACAATTTCAACCGCGGCTGGCTTGACCGTGTTTTTCTGAACTGCGGCTGGCTTGACCGCAGTACAAGGCAGCTGTCAACTATCATAGTCCATATGAGCGTATTAACAAAGAGAAAAATAATACAAATACTACCTACATGATTACAACAAACAATGAACTAGAAAACGTGGTAAACGATGTCAGGACACCCGACCAATCAGAGCACAGCATATTTGCGCTCAGCTCTGTGATTGGACAATTTTGCTTTTTGACATATTGACATATTTAATGTCCATGTTTGTCTAGCAAATCTTGATAACAGAAACATGATAATATACTTCATTTATACATTAACTCTGATCATTAAGGAGAATAACTATATTTTGTACTTTTGCACACAATTTCATAAAGACAAACGTGAACAAATATAAATCACATTGGTACTGCTGTGAAAGGGTTCAGGTGAATGTGCACAGCCTCCTCTCTCACACACAGAGGACTCACTCATGCGCTCAGATTTATGAGACAAACTTTGTTCAGCGTTTGGTTTTATTTTTGATGCCTCCTCCTTATAGTAAAACTTGATTGTTTGAAGGAGAGCTAATTTGAGAATTCAGTGAAGGATCTTATTGAACCTCCCCTGCCATAAGAACAATTCTCAACCTATATGAGAATTTAATGAGACATGAAGAATAGACTTGTAGAGACACAGGCCATGTTAAACGTGGGCTGAAATTAATCCTTAGTTTAGTATCAATCCATGTCCTATGTTTTGATAATTTTCTTTTCCTTAAATAATAGTAAGTTTTAGCAGATAAATGTTCCTGGAAAAGCTTGGTTTAACTGTAGGAAAATGTCACTGATGACTGAAATAATGGCTATGGAAAATTCTGCTTTGCCATCACAGGAATAAATTACATTTGAAAACATATTAAAATAGAAGTTATTTTAAATAGTAATAATATTTCACAATATATATAATAAATGTAACTTTGGTGAGCATAAGAGAAAATCTTTCTGACCCCCAAACTTTTGAATGATAGTTTAAATGTAAACATTTCTAGTGCTCAGGACAACTGAGGGATTAAGTAGCCAATAACACGCATATTAAAGCAGGAGTACAAAAAAAAAGAAATCGAGAAATGTCATCTTGTTATATTACATCTAAATTCTGGGCGTCTAAATAAAAAGTGTGTTCTCCCTGTGTGTTCCTGCAATTACCGTAAGCATGGTAATACGCGCGTACACAATTTCAACCGCGGCTGGCTTGACCGTGTTTTTCTGAACTGCGGCTGGCTTGACCGCAGTACAAGGCAGCTGTCAACTATCATAGTCCATATGAGCGTATTAACAAAGAGAAAAATAATACAAATACTACCTACATGATTACAACAAACAATGAACTAGAAAACGTGGTAAACGATGTCAGGACACCCGACCAATCAGAGCACAGCATATTTGCGCTCAGCTCTGTGATTGGACAATTTTGCTTTTTGACATATTGACATATTTAATGTCCATGTTTGTCTAGCAAATCTTGATAACAGAAACATGATAATATACTTCATTTATACATTAACTCTGATCATTAAGGAGAATAACTATATTTTGTACTTTTGCACACAATTTCATAAAGACAAACGTGAACAAATATAAATCACATTGGTACTGCTGTGAAAGGGTTCAGGTGAATGTGCACAGCCTCCTCTCTCACACACAGAGGACTCACTCATGCGCTCAGATTTATGAGACAAACTTTGTTCAGCGTTTGGTTTTATTTTTGATGCCTCCTCCTTATAGTAAAACTTGATTGTTTGAAGGAGAGCTAATTTGAGAATTCAGTGAAGGATCTTATTGAACCTCCCCTGCCATAAGAACAATTCTCAACCTATATGAGAATTTAATGAGACATGAAGAATAGACTTGTAGAGACACAGGCCATGTTAAACGTGGGCTGAAATTAATCCTTAGTTTAGTATCAATCCATGTCCTATGTTTTGATAATTTTCTTTTCCTTAAATAATAGTAAGTTTTAGCAGATAAATGTTCCTGGAAAAGCTTGGTTTAACTGTAGGAAAATGTCACTGATGACTGAAATAATGGCTATGGAAAATTCTGCTTTGCCATCACAGGAATAAATTACATTTGAAAACATATTAAAATAGAAGTTATTTTAAATAGTAATAATATTTCACAATATTATATCAAATAAATGTAACCTTGGTGAGCATAAGAGAAAATCTTTCTGACCCCCAAACTTTTGAATGATAGTTTAAATGTAAACATTTCTAGTGCATTCAGAACTCAGCAAGATGACACACAAACACAAAGTTACCATACATTGGTAATATTTATATTTAATGGCTTGGGCACAGACCACAAATACAATAATAATAGAGAGGTGCATATTGTAGACATTTAACCAAAAAAAACTTTTGCTTTATCACCAACCAACATGATTTAACATATTATTTGCTTTTGTATTGCCTGCACTGAGGGAACCTTGTTCCTTGAACCTTGTTCCCTGACTACAAAGATCACAACTTCTGAATGGAGTTTTGTCCATGTGTCCATGTGAGAGTGTGACTGGTGTCACTGGTCCATTCCATGCTGTAAAAGATAAACAGAGAATAGACATGAGTGTCAAATGTGCACACTCCACAACTATTCATGTGTATGTACTGTCACACTCCCTAAGGTAGTATTGGGTAGACAAAAAGAGCAGGAGAGAGGAGTTTGTGTGTAAAAACAAGCATGTCATGTGCCATTACCGTGCAGATGGGAAGACTTGAAGCTTGTGCTTTTGAGGACTGCAGCTTCAGAACTGGAGCAAATGCACTTTTTTGCTTCACTACAGAAATGCATGAAAGAAAAGGAGACAAGGAAGATCTAAACGAACATCTTCAGGATGAGTGTAAATAATTCATTCTGATCATTACGCAATTTAACCATAATTCAGTTGGAATATCTTGATTAATAATTAT